GTAGAGATGAGGGCTCGACAAGTTGCCCAGGCGGGTCTCGAACCCACGGTCTCAGGCAATCCACTCACCTCAGCCTCCCAAAGCGTGGGATTACAGGCTGAGCCACCGAGCCCGGCTGTGTCTACATTTTCATTCGGACTCTGTAGAAAAGCTTTGAAGACCCAAAGCCAGTGGCAGACACAGAGGGTGTGTGTGGGAGGGAGAGGACCTTCCAGGCGCGCTGCACATCACATCCTGCGGTGAATCCCACTTACACCCCACCCTGCACTTCCATGGGATGAATCACCAATGTTTCATGGAATGGAGGATCTCTGCTAAGGGGACACAGTAGGGATATAGATAGGGAATATAAATATAGTAGGGATATAGTAGGGTTATAGTCAGGGAACTGGTTAAGATCACATAACAACAATAAAGTCAATACATTATTAGTATTGTTATTATTTTGAGTAGAAGTTTCACTCTGTCGCCCAGGCTGGAGTGCAGTGGCACGCTCACAGCCACTGCAGCCTCTGCCCGCTGGGCTCACAATCCTTCTGCCTCAGCCTTTCAGGTAGCTGGAACTACAGGCGCACGCCACCATGCCCAGCTAATTTTTTGGTTTATTTTACAGATGAGGTCTCGCCCAGTTAGTTGTCCAGGCTGGCCTCGAACCCTGGACTCAGGCAATCTTCTCACCTCTACCTCCTGAGGTGCTGGGATTACAGGTGTGAGCCACCACACCTGACAATAATACATTAGTATTATTTCACTGGGTTTTGAGTGACGCACTCATGCCAAATGCTCTCTAAACATTTTCTCGCTTGACCCTGGTAACATTAGATGGTAGATATTGTTATTACCATTTTGCAGAGGAGTACAGAGATATTAAGTAACTGGGTTTAGGCTGGGCTCAGTGGCTCAGTCTGTAATCCCAGCACTTTGGGAGACCAAGGCAAGTGGATGACCTGAGCCCGCAGGTTCGAGACCAGCCTGGGCAACTTGGTGAGACCTCACTACAATAAACAAAAAATCAGCTGGACATGGTGGCATGTGCCTATAGTTCCAGGAAGGCTGAGGAGGAAGGATCGCCTGAGCCCAGCAGGCCGAAGCTGGGGTGGCCGTGAGTGCGCCACTGCACTCCAGCCTGGGCAACAGAGTGAGACTCTAACTCAAAAAAAAAAAAAAAAAAAGCACCTGGGTTTAAACCTGGGTGTTTAAAGCCCACAGTCTTCCCCTGAGCAAGCATATATTCCCTTATTGTTCTGATTCCTAGCATGCGCTATTATCAAGTATCCCTGTCCCCCACTCAGCCTGGATGGCCTACTGGAATGTTCTCCGGCAGCCATGGCAATTATTCATGTGAAGCCTTGGGTCTTGTGAGGAACCCACATGGGTCATGGCGATGCTAACCTCATGCTTCTTGATTTAGGATGTATGAACTGAATTGCTACCTACCCCAAGAAAAAGACCTGAAGATTTCTGTCTATGACTATGACACCTTCACCCGTGATGAAAAAGTCGGAGAAACCATCATCGATCTGGAGAACCGATTCCTGTCCCGCTTTGGGTCCCACTGCGGTATCCCTGAGCAGTACTGCATGTGAGTCGCCCTGGCCGGCCATGAGGCCATCGGCTGCCTCTGACATGCACACCTGGGGAGTCCTGGGCGCTCCTTCAGTCAGTCAAGTACCTTTTCCAGTAGTGGGATCCTCTTAGGGGCAGCAGGACCCATCCTTGGGGCATCACAAGGTGGCAGCTTGGTGAGCCAGGCCCCCTCGCTGCCCCCTTTTCAGCTCCTCCTGGGTGTCAGGAATGGAAGGCAGGGATGTCAGTGTTTGATGGCAGGAATTCCCTGCCCTTGGGAAACAGATTCCTTCTCCCCCCCCCCTCCCCGTCCCAAATGAATCAATTTTCTTTGATTCTCTTCCGCCAGCTAGACAGCGTCTTTCCACAGCATCTCAAGGCATACCTTGCAGTTTCTCGTTTTAGTTTGCAGGAAATGACAACAGTGGTCTCAGCCAGACTCCTCATTTTTGCAAAGGAGGAAACAGAGCAAAATACGTCAATGAATGAATAAATAAAATCAGTTGGTTGAGGCCAAATAACATGTGGATTTTAGGACTCAGGGAAAATCCTAGATTCAGAGAGTCCTCAAGGATGTGTGTATACATCCAAGGAGAACCTGGGATCCCGCGGTCACTTGGGCGTTTGTGGTGCTCTTCACAGTTCCGGAGTTAACACCTGGCGAGATCAACTGAGGCCAACACAGCTGCTTCAGAATGTAGCCAGGTTCAAAGGCTTCCCGCAATCCATCCTTTCCGAAGACGGAAGTAGAATCAGATATGGAGGACGGGACTACAGTTTGGAGGAATTTGGTGAGCACCTGGCATTGGGTTGCAGATTGGCACAAAGTAGAATGACCTATGGACCTGGCTGGGTTCGGGAGGGACTTGGGCGGAGCCAGTACCTCAGTTAGACCATGTGAGACTCGGGCCACGTGACCGTGTCTAACAGCTGCCACACGACTGTAGAGTTCTGCTGTCTTGCCAGGTTCAAGGCAGACACATGTCTTGTCTGTCTTAGGTTTCACACTTTTTAAAAAGTCGATTCAGGGAGTACAAGTGCATGTTGGTTACACGGGCATATTGTGTACTGGTGGGAATTGGGCGTCGGGTGGCCCATTCCCCAGATAGTGACCATTGTACCCCGTAGGGCGCTTCTGAACCCTAACTCCCTCCTCCCACCTTTTAGTGTCCGCAGTGGCTATTATTTCCAGCTTTGTGACTAGTCAGCGCCCACTGTGTGCTTCTTCTGTGTCTGAGTCAGTTCACTTAGGATTATGTTCTCCCACTCCGTCTGTGTTGCTGCCAAGGACCTAATTTCATTCTTTATTCTGGTTTCGTAGTATTCCATGATATATGCATGTCATGTTTTCTTTAGCCAATCCATTGTTGATGCCCTTGTCCTTTTTAGGTTATAGTTATTTGTCTTTCTACTTTAAGGAAGACTTCATCGGTACAGGAATAATTAGATGTTTAAGACACGTCAATGCTGCTCTCAATGTGTGAACTTGCAAACGCGGTTAGGAATCCACCAAGAAGCAGCATGGTCTAGTGGTTAAGGATACCCCAAATAATCAAGCAGCTCCCCCCAAAAGCTGTATCAGTTATGAGGATTGTTTTGGTTACCTTTGTTATAGAACAGATTGCCCCAAAACTTAGCAACTAAAAACAACCATCTTGTTTTGCCCACAACTTGAGGGACAGGAATCCAGGAAGGGCTCGGCTGGGCGGTTTTGGCTTGGGATCCCACCTGTGACCGCAGCGAGCTGTCAGCTAGTGCTGTCATCTGAGGGCTCTGTGGGGGGGAGCAACTGGGCTGGCTTACACACATGGCTGACTGTTGAAGCAGGGTCTCAGCTGGGGCTGGTGACAGAGGCCTTTCCACCAAGACAGCCTCTGGGGACTTGGGCTCCTTGCATGGCTGATGGCTTCCCCCAGAGTGACTGTCTTAAGAGAACCAGGCAGGAGGTGCATGGCCTTTTATGGCCAGCCTGGGAAGCCACACAGCATTTTTTCTCCATACTCGAGTATTTGAATATGTCTCCAGTTTCCAAGGGAAATGACACGGACCCCACTGCTTGATGGGAGATGTGTCAGAGAATTTGGGGACTGTGTTTTCAGAATGCCACAGTGATGCCAGCTGCTGTAACAACCAAGCTTCCAAATTTCAGTGACCCATACAGTAGAAGTTTATTTCTCATGGATTCAGATAAGCATTCCTATGGCAGATGCGTCCGTCCCAGAAGCACTCTAGGGGCTGGGGGCCCTTCCCTCCCGTAGCTGCTGCTCAGCTCGGGTGTCTAAGGCTGCTGTTCCTTCCTGCAAGCAGAAGAGAAAGGTGCATGAACATTCGATCAGAGGGATTTATGGGTCAGGTCCGAAGGTGATACATGTATCTCTTCCTCCCATGTGACACTCCAATTGAACTTGATCTCACGGCCTCATCTAGCTGCAAAGGAGGCTGGGAAACAGGCTAGCTGTGAGCCTGGGCCACAGAAGTCAATGCAGACTGTGTCCACTTGCCCTTTCTGGTGTGTTCTGATCCTTTTGCCACTGGCCATCTACAAGTTGGGTTTGTGCCTGGGTGGGGCAGGGGCCCTGGTCAGGAGCTGTTTCTACCAACACTTTCTTCACAAGCCAAGGTTTGCATGTTGGCCCTGCCTGTCCCTGTTGGCCAAGGCCAGGGTGCAGCACTGCCAGCTGCTCCGGGCAGCCTGGCTGAGGTGATCCTGACGCCCACCCCTGCTTCAATGTTGCTTTCCGTTCCAGAAGCCAACAAAGTCCTGCACCGGCACCTGGGGCCTCCAGAAGAGCGGCTTGCCCTCCACATCCTCAGGACTCAGGGGCTGGTCCCTGAGCACGTGGAAACCAGGACTTTACACAGCACCTTCCAGCCCAATATCTCCCAGGTAAAGGGGCTCTCCCCTTCAAGACCGAGTGCCATGGCCGTAGCAGGCACAGATTTGCCTCTTTTATCGTTCGAATGCTTTTAGATACACAAGAAGTAGTAATGAAACTCAAATGGGCTGGCATGGTGGCACATACCTGTAATCCCAGCACTTTGGGAGGCCAAGGTAGGAGGATTGTTTGAGCTCAGAAGTTCGAGACCAGTCTGGACAACATACCAAGACCTTGCATTTACAAAAAAAACCCCAAAATTAGCCAGGGGTGGTGGCATGCACCTGTAGTCCCAGTTACTTGGGTGACTGAGGTGGGGGGATCACTTGAGCTCAGGAGGTCAAGGTTGTGGTTGTGTCATGATCATGCCACCACTGCATTCCAGCCTGGGTGACAGTGCTGACTCCAAAGAAGAAAGAAAGAAAAAAGAGAGTGAGAGAAAGCAGGGAGGGAGAGAAGGAGGGAGGGAAATTCAAATGAGCTTCACCCCAAAGGAAAACTTACCGTAAGAATTTTCAGATACCTCAGCCCAGACAGGAGACCTTCAGGGTCTCTGCCTGTCTCTTGTCTGTGTTTCTCTCTGAGTCGATTTCATCTGTCCTCTTCCTGGGATCACCTGCCTATGCATCCAGACGTCGCAGCCCTTTTCTGAGTGTGTTTGTGTTATAATGCAGACCCGTCGACTCCCAAACATTTAGGTGTTGGTGGCCCCAAGCGGGCAACCAACACTGGACAATTGAGCCGTTGTCAGGAGGGCAGGGCCTGGGAAAGTGACCGAACTCAGTGCTGTCTGGGGAAGAGGTGCCATCTGACACCAAAGTGGCAGGGAAGCAGATGCCATGTGGACAGTGATGGGGGAGGGCACAGTTTCCAGAGCTGCAACAGGAGACGTGGCCAATGACAAAAGTTCTGTGTGGAAGCTTGTTATTTTATTTCCTTATTTATTTAGAGTCAGAGTCTCACTCTGTCACCCAGGCTGGAGTGCAGTGGCATGATCATGGCTCACCACAGCCTCGACCTGGTAGGCTCAGACAGTCCTCCCACCTCAGCCTCCTGAGTAACTGGGAGTACCGGCACGTGCCACTATGCTTGGCTAATTTTTTATTTATGTATGTATTTATTTATTTATTGAACAGATGGGATCTCGCTATGTTGCCTAGGCTGGTGTCGAACTCCTAGGCTCAAGCGATCCTCCCACCTTGGCCTTCTAAAATGTTGGGATTACAGACCGTGTGAGCCACTTCCCCTGGCCAGAAACTTATTATAATGAAGACTTCAGGCCATGTCTGCAGAGATTTGGATGTATTGCCAGGCGCGGTGGCTCAAGCCTGTAATTCCAGCACTTTGGGAGGCGGAGGCAAGAGGATTGCCTGAGCTCAGGGGTTCGAGACCAGCCTGGGCAACATAGTGAAACCTCGTCTCTACAATAAGTTAAAAAAATTAGGTATAGTGATGCATGCCTGTGGTTCCAGCTACCTGGAAGGCTGAGGCAGAAGGATTGCCTGAGCCCAGCGGGGGTGACTCCAACCTGGGCGACACAGTAAAACTCCAACTCAAAAGGAGAGAGAGAGAGAGATTTGAGTGTAGCAGCTCTGAAGAGGGGCCAAGAATCTGAATTTTAACAAGTACCCCAAGAGTTTCTGGTTACACTTTAAGAAATATTCTTTTAATGCATGCAAGCACTGTTGATATGTATGGCAAAGCTATGGACAAGCTGATTGCCAAAGGGTGGCCACAAGTGGTCTGGGCTTTCTTTTTTTTTTTTGAGTTGGAGTCTCACTCTGTCGCCCAGACTGGAGTGCAATGGCCGCTCCCAGCCACCGCAGCCTCGACCTGCTGGGCTCCAGCGATCCTTCCGTCTCAGCCTTCCAAGTAGCCGGAACTACAGGCACGCACTCCCACGCCCGGCTAATTTTTTTGATTTATTGTAGAGATGAGGTCTCACTGCCCAGGCGGGTCTCGAACCCGCGGGCTCAGGCAATCCGCTCACCTCAGCCTCCCAAAGGCGCGGAATTACAGGCTGAGCCACCAAGCCCGGCTGAGCTTTCTAGATTATTTTGTCACCACATCTCTCTGGAGTGCAGTGGTATGATCATAGCTCACTATAACCTCGCACTCCTGGCCTCAAGTAATCCTCCCACCTCCGCCTCCCAAATGACTGAGATTACAGGCCTGAGCCACCATGCCAGGCCATTTCTTCCTTTTCTTGTTTTTCTTCCTTGCACCAGAGAGGCTATTCCTCCTCTCTTCCCTCCTCCCACTTCTCAATTGTATGAGGAGTCTCAAGAAATGACAGAGTGAGGAAGATTTCTCCCTGGGAACCTGCTAACCCTCATCCCATCTGCCTACAGCATTAGTCACAGCTGAGCTTTGGAGACACCCAGACGCCTGGTGTTCTGCAGCGTGCTTGATGTATGGTAGAACCCTGAGCCCTAGAGATTAGTTGGAAGCGAGTCGGGATCACAGTCAAATATGTACCTTTTCACGAATCCCAGTTCATTCATTTTGATCACAATGCATTAGGAAGCCAATCTTGTGGTTTCCTTGGCAACTTTCTTGAAGGCCACTCTGTTTTTGTCTGGAGACAGAGTCTACAGAACGTCCAAAAACAGTTTGGAGAATATAAATTGGTTTGCATGGTGGATACAGTTTGTTAATGACGTTTCAGGCCTGCCTGGAAGAACATTCCAGTCAGATGGACTCAGTCTGTGGCAGTCAGAGAGCTAAACAGGGCCTCAACCAAGATGGCGGTGTGTGTGTTGGTTCAGGCTTTTATCTCCTTCTCTGTGAGCTCCCTACTGAATGGTGGGCACTGTGACTCAGTGGCAGAGAATCCTCACCTTTTGGGAATAGTAATGTTCTCGTCACTGTTTGAGCCCCTCCTTTGATGAGATCAAGCGCTTCTGTGGTGATAGACTGAGTCCCTGCTTTGAAAGTGCTGTGTTGTAAGATTTTATTTTACAAAGTTAAATACCATTCTCACCAGGCCTGGTGGCTCACACCTGTAATCCCAGTACTTTGGGAAGCAGAGGCGAGAGGATTGACTGAGCCCAAGGGTTCGTGACCAACCTGGACAACTTGGCAAGACCTCGTCTCTATAAGAAGTCAAAAAACTAGCCAGGCATGGTGGTTCACGCCTGTAGTTCCAGCTACTTGGAAGGCTGAGGCGGAAGAACCACCTGGCTCAGCAGGTCGAGGCTGTGGTGGCTGTGAGCGTGCACTGCACTCCAGCCTGGGTGACAGAGTGAGACTCCAACTAAGGACCAAAAAAAAAAGTTAAATACCATTCTCATTACTTTAATTTTGTATCTTGAGGGAAGTACAGAAACCCTTGGGTGCTGCAAAGCTGAGAATGCTGTCATGTGGGCAGTGTGATAATAACTAGAATGACAGCATTAGAACCATTAGAGGACAATGGACCCAATTTTAAGTTGTGTGTGTGTGTGTGTGTGTGTGTGTATGTGTATGTGTGTGTGTGTGTGTGTGTGTGTGTGTGTGTGTGTGTGTATGTGTTGGGGTTGGGTTAATTATGAGAAACCCCCATTTTATTAACGAGGAAAGACTCGAACTATGATACAGGTAGCCGTCAGAGAGCCCTGGGTGGCCATGGGAAGTGGGTGGCCTAAGTGACATTGTAGATATAGGATGAATCCGGGTTTGCCCTGCTCTATGTAATGGCTTCCATATGGACTCATAAATCAGCAGCCCCAAAGACATCATTTCACCTAAGAAATGTGAAAAAAAAGTGTGGTTTTTCCCCGCCCGTGATATAACTCCATTTTTGGACGGTTTAGGGAAAACTTCAGATGTGGGTGGACATCTTCCCCAAGAGTCTGGGGCCGCCGGGACCTCCGTTCAACATCACACCCCGGAAGGCCAAGAAGTAAGTCATCCCGAAACCCTGTCTCCTCCACCGGCCCGGGCACTTGGTCCAGGCCCAGAGAAAAACATGCCTTCCAAATGGGCTCTTTTCAGATACTACCTGCGTGTGATCATCTGGAACACCAAAGACGTCATCTTGGATGAAAAGAGCATCACGGGAGAGGAAATGAGTGACATCTACGTCAAAGGGTAAGGGTGGTGAGAAGGGCGAGGGGAGCAGGCAGGTGAGAGGGTAGAGGTGGCCAACGGGCCAGAGGGTGAGGGTGGCCAGCACGTAGAGGGTGAGGGTGGCGAACACATCAAAGGAGGAGGGTGGCCAGCAGGTCAGAGGGTGAGGGTGGCCAGCAGGAACCCTTGACAACCTCAGGGACTGAAGCAGACTCTCTCTTTCATGGGTTTTCATGACCGAAGGGGCCCACTCTAGGGTTCTTGGTTATTGGAAGCTATTTTTTTTTTGAGTTGGAACCTCACTCTGTCACCCAGACTGGAGTGCAGTGGCACGCTCCCAGCCACCGCAGCCTCCACCTGCTGGACTCCCGCGATCCTTCCACCTCAACCTTCCAAGTAACTGGAACTACAGGCATGTACTACCACGGCTGGCTAATTTTTTATTTATTGTAGAGATGAGGTCTCACCAAGTTGCCCAGGTGGGTCTTGAACCCACGGGCTCAGGCAATCCACTCGCCTCAACCTCCCAAAGTGCTGGGATTACAGGCTGAGCCACCAAGCCCGGCCTTGGAAGCTATTTTGTCTCATGAATGTCATCACTTAGGCTGCTCCTGGACAGCAAAGGGAGCTGGAACAAAAGAACTAGAGAAACCTGGTAGGCCTTGTTTATAAGCAGAGCTATCCAAGGACCACAAGAGCTGTAAATATGTCTTCGTTTCCCTTTAAACAAAGTGAATATTCTTCAGTTTGTTTGTTTATATTTTTAAAAAAGGGACAGAGCCAGGCTTGGTGGCTCAGCCTGTAATCCCACGCCTTTGGGAGGCTGAGGTGAGTGGATTGCCTGAGCCCGCGGGTTCGAGACCCGCCTGGGCAGCGAGACCTCATCTCTACAATAAATCAAAAAATCAACCGGGCGTGGTAGCGTATGCCTGTAATTCCGGCCACTCGGAAGGCTGAGGTGGAAGGATCACCGGAGCCCAGCAGGTCGAGGCTGCGGTGGCCGGGAGCAGCCACTTCCCTCCAGTCTGGGCGATAGAGTGAGACTCCAACTCAAAAAAGAGAAAAAAAAAAAAGGGACAGGGTCTGACTGTGTTGTCCAGGCTGGTCTTGAACTCTTGTCTGCATGCAGTCCTCCCACCTTGACCTCCCAAAGTACTGGGATTACAGGTATGAGCCACCACACCCAGCCTTCTTCAGTTTATTAAGCGGATTAGTTATTTCTGAGACTTTTTTCTTTGTTTTGAGTTGGAGTCTCACTCTGTTGCCCAGGCTGAAATGCGGTGGCATGCTCACAGCCACTGCAGCCTCAACCTTCTGAACTCAGGTGATCCTTCTGCCTCAGCCTTCCAAGTAGCTGGAACTACAGGCACACACCACCACGCCTGACTAATTTTTTGATTTATTGTAGAGACTAGGTTTCATCAAGTTGCCTGGATTGGTCTCGGACCCCTGGCTCAGGCAATCCTTTCACCTCAGCCTCCCAAAGTGCTGGGATTACAGGCTTGAGCCACCACTGCACCTAGCCATTTCTGAGACTTTTTGGCTGTGTTGTTTTCTTTTATTCCTCTTTGACGCCCTAAATAACTAGCCTTAGAAACACAAGTAAAGCTTTCAAAATTCCTTTTTCTACAGATTTGATTACCAGCCGCCAATGTCTATGAAAAAGAAGAAAAGATAGCAGATTTTGAAAAAAGTCATTCATTCACTGAGTGCCTACATCCAACATGTCAGAGTGTCCCTGTAGTTCATTATTCTTTTACCTGCATAATTAAATTTCAAGTAGTCCGTATGGATGTTAGTTTCTTGCTATGCCCTGAACATGAATGTTGAGGGCAATACAGCACAGTGATTAAGAAGCCAGCTTCTAGCCGGGCTCGGTGGCTCAGCCTGTAATCCTGCGCCTTGGGAGGCCGAGGTGAGTGGATGGTCTGAGTCCGCGGGTTCGAGACCCTCCTGGGCAACTTGGAGAGACCTCATCTCTACAACAGATCAAAAAATTAGCCAGGTATGGTAGTGCACCTGTAGTTCCAGCTACTTGGAAGGCAGAGGCGGGAGGATTGCCGGAGCCCAGCAGGTCGAGGCTGCGGTGGCCGGGAGCGGCCACTGCACTCCAGTCTGGGCGATAGAGTGAGACTCAAAAAAAAAAAAGCAGCTTCTGCAGTCAGACCCCTGAGTTGAAGTCCTGGGACTTTCTCTGCAGCCTGGGCAAGACGGTGAGCTCACTGTTCCTCTTCTGTTAACTGGAGACAATGCTTGAACCCACTTCCCAGGGATAGTCAGGACATTCAATTATCCAAAGCATTTAGTTTTTGTTTTTTTGAGTTGGAGTCTCACTCTTTGTTGCCCAGGCTGGAGTGTGGTGGCACGCTCACAGCCACTGCTGCCTCAACCTGCTGGACTTACGTGATATTCCACCTCAGCCTTCCAAGTAGCTGGAGCTACAGATGCACACCACCACGCCCGGCTAGTTTTTTGTGATTTATTGTAGAGACGAGGTCTCACCAAGTTGTCCAGGCTGGTCTCAAACCCCTGAGCTCTGGGTTCTCACGCCTCGGTCTCCCAAAGTGCTGGGATTACAGGCTGAGCCACCGCACCCAGCCCTATCCAAAGCATTTAGGACAGCACCTGACAGACAGCACATACGACGTGAGGATTAGCTAGAATGATTACTGTTCCACATGGACTGTGTTCCTTAATATGTAAAAGATAAGACTTGTGACTACTTGGAAGGCTGAAGCGGAAGGATCATCTGAGCCTGGCAGGTCCAGGCTGTGGTGACCATGAGCGTGCCACTGTACTCCAGCCTGGGCGACAGAATGATACTCTGACTCAAAAAAAAAAAAAAAATACTTGTGAGATGTAGTATATTCATAAAGTGAGAACAAAGTTTTACCTCTGATCCCAAGCGGCCATCAATCAGAATTTTTTTAGAAAGACATAATTACTCTCATTCAAGTTCACTATAAACGAATGTTTCATCAAGTTCATTATTCTTTCTCATCTCAGGATCTCATCACCATTCCCTAAGGAAAGCTAATCCTGGCTAATTATATATATGCAAATTGATTTGACTATCATAAGCATGATTTTTTTTCAAATCAGGGAAACAAACTCAAGGAATACTGAACTGAGAGAAACTCCTCTAATCAAAGAATAAAACTCACTTAAAGTACCATGGAAAATTTAGAATTAAAATCGAAATGCTCTGTGTGAAAAGAGTAGGGCATGCCTAGCACTAGACATATCTGGGTACTGTGTTATGTACAAAGTTATACATACACGCACACAAATACATACACTTAGAGTAGTTTCTCAGCTTGTCTTAAAATTAAAGTGAAAAGATTCACTTTTATTTATTTGGTTATTTATTTTGAATTGCTCTCTCACTCCATCGTCCAGGATGGAGTACAGTGGCATGCTCATGGCCACTGCAGCCTCGACCTGCTGGGCTCAGGCGATCCTTCCGCCTCAGCCTTCCAAGTAGCTGAAACTGCAGGTACGCACCACCACGCCCAGCTAATTTTTTGATTTATTGTAGAGACGAATTCTCCCCAAGTTGCCCAGGCTGATCTTAAACCCCTGGGCTCAGGCAGTCCTCTCACCTCCACCTCCCAAAGTGCTGGGATTGCAGATGTAAGCCACTGCACCCAGCAAAATTCACGTTTGAAATTAAATGTGAGGGCTGGACATGGTGGCTCACGCCTATGATCCCAGCACTTTGGGAGGCTGAGGTGAGAGGATTGCCTGAGCCCAGGGGTTTAAGATCAGCCTGGGCAACTTGGTGAGACCTCGTCTCTACAATAAATCAAAAAATTAGCCAGATCTGGTGGTGCACGACTGTAGTCCCAGCTACTTGGAAGGCTGAGGTGGAAGGATCATCTGAGCCTAGCAGGTCGAGGCTGCGGTGGCCATGAGTGTGCTACTGCATTCCAGCCTGGGCAACAGAGTAAGACTCTGACTCAAAAAAAAAAAAGGTCAGTAGCCAAAGAGAATCTTCCAATTCATTTATCTAGTCAGTTAATTGACTAGCAAAAAGGAAAACTACTATAGTTGATATAAGTCCCACTACTAATGACAGGACTTAAGATTAGCAAGTGACTTTATTTTTTTATTTTTTATTGTAGGATGAGGTCTCGCCAAGTTGCCCAGGCTGGTCTCGAACCCTTGGGCTCAGGCAATTCCCTCACTTCGGCCTCCCAAAGTGCTGGGATTATAGGCTTGAGCCACCGCACCCGGCCTGCAAGTGACTTTATAGTCTCCGTGGTTTTTTGAGGCAGAGTAACAGGTGTGGGCTTTGGAGCCAGACTGACCTGGGAGCCATCCTTAGTTCTGTCAGTTACTTGGCTGTGTAGCCTTGTGTAAGTTCAAATATCCTCCCTGAACCTCAATTTCCTCATCTGTTAAATGGAGATAGTGACCCAGCTGCTTGAAAGAATTAAACAGTGCATGCTAAGTGCCTGGCTCCTCAAAGGTGACCGTAAACACGAGTCCCCACCGTGCCCTTGCTAACCGTGGTCTCCTCATCGTCCTCACATCCTTAATTTCATTCTAGGGACGGGAGATGAAGCTCAGAGATTTCACAGCCAATCCTGCCTCCCACCAAGATGCTCGATCTTGGGGTCCAGGCATCCACGATTAGAAAAGCTCCCTTGTGGTTTCACCTGCAAATCCAATGTGCAGTGTGGAGGCCCAGCACTCTAGCGCTTTGCGCATCTGAAATCAAATGTCACCCCCCGTTTTCAAACCAGAAGTCTTCCCAGGAGCAGACAGAAGTGACAACACCTTCTTTCCAGATATGCTCATTCATTCATTCCTTCAATGGGTATTTATTTAGTGTCTACTGTATGCTGGGCACAAGCATAAGCTTCTCAAATGTTAAAAGTTAAGATGTTAAGTTGTTATTGGAATAAATGTTCTTTTTTTTTTTTTTTTTGAGTTGGAGTCTCACTCTGTCGCCCAGACTGGAGTGCAGTGGCCGCTCCCGGCCACCGCAGCCTCGCCTGCTTGGCTCCGGCGATCCTTCCTCCTCAGCCTTCCAAGTAGCCGGAATTACAGGCATGCGCTACCACACCCGGCTGATTTTTTGACTTATTGTAGAGATGAGGTCTTGCTGCCCAGGCGGGTCTCGAACCCGCGGGCTCAGGCAATTCACTCACCTCAGCCTCCCAAAGGCGCGGGATTACAGGCTGAGCCACCGAGCCCGGCCTCGCTCAAGTATTTTTAATCCCCAACTTTAATTCCAAATTGAACAGAAGTGATTGAAGTCTGTCAATTTACATTTCCAGAAACTAGCAAGTGGTTTTCTGCTCACCGTCCAATTAAGACACTGCTTTGGAATACACCAAACAATTTCTTAAGACCATGATCACCACCATCAAATGCACCAACTCTAACATGTGTCAAGTATATAGTACCCAGCACAGCCCTAAAGTTGATAGTTACAAGCTTTATCTTAGTCTTCAGACTTTCTTACTGACTACCACCTTTTACTTTAACTGCTAGTTTAGTTTTTCACGAGGCTTTAACAGTCCTTTAAAATTCTTACTGGCATTTGCTCCATTTTCTAGACAAAGAGTTTACAGGGTCTTAAAAATGACCTACCCATAAACCACATTTTTTTCTGTAAAATGGTAACCAGAAAAAGTACAGTTACACTGATAATCTCAAAAAAAACAATGGCAGAAGTCCTGAATCCTGCCACATTGTAACAGAAATACTAGAAACAGCAACACTGTGAAGTAATGAGTTTTCACAAAAAGGATCGTCAGTAGGGCATGATATGGATTGCTATATGATACAGCGTTTATGTGAACAGACCACGTTTGATGTCATTATAATTTGATATTTATCACATGACATTCTAACAAGAGAAAGATTATGTTTCCCTGAAATATTTAATGCACAGAAAAAT